AGCCTTGCTGGGTCAGACAAGAAGTCAATCTAGTCCAGCATCCTAGGAACATTAGAAGAGCCCTGCTGGATCAAACCAGTGGTCCATCTAGTCCAGCATCCTAAGAACATAAGAAGAGCCCTGCTGGATCAGACCAGTGGTCCATCTAGTCCAGCATCCTAAGAACATAAGAAGAGCCCTGCTGGATCAGACCAGTGGTCCATCTAGTCCAGCATCCTAAGAACATAAGAAGAACCCTGCTGGATCAGAGCAGTGGTCCATCCAGTCCAGCATCCTAAGAACATAAGAAGAGCCCTGCTGGATCAGACCAGTGGTCCATCTAGTCCAGCATCCTAAGAACATAAGAAGAACCCTGCTGGATCAGAGCAGTGGTCCATCCAGTCCAGCATCCTAAGAACATAAGAAGAGCCCTGCTGGATCAGACCAGTGGTCCATCTAGTCCAGCATCCTAAGAACATAAGAAGAACCCTGCTGGATCAGAGCAGTGGTCCATCCAGTCCAGCATCCTAAGAACATAAGAAGAGCCCTGCCAGAACAGACCAGTGGTCCATCTTGCTGTGGCCGTCACTACATCCTCTGGCAGCAAATCCCACATTTTAATCCCCTGGAATTACAGCTCACCTCCAGACTATAGAGATCAGCTCCCCTGGAGAAAACGGATGCTTTGGAGCATGGGCTCTGTGGGAATGGCCCCCCGCTGAGGTCCCTGTCCTCCTCGGGCTCCACTCCACCTCAAACCCCCAGGATTTCCTACTCTGTTTCTAGTAACCCAATCCCATCCTCCTCCACTGGAGGCCAGGGGGTACATGGCAACCCTAGCCTGTGCTCTAATGTTCTTCAACATGATCAGGGGTCATTTAGTAGAAAAAGGGGTGCAGGCGCTCATTAGCATAACTTATTTGCATATGCCACGCCCCCTGACATCACCGGAAGTGTGTCAGAAGGCAACATCCACCGCTCAGGCTCCACTGGACTGTTTTGGATTGCTAGCTATTGGGGGGGGGGAACGTGCAGATCTGTCCTTGC